AATAAAATATTGTGTTAACAGTAAAACCTTTACCTTCGTGCCTCGGTATATGTAGCTGATATTTTCAAAGATAAGTGTTTCAAGTTAAAGTTAAAATAAATTGGGTATATTCAGTCTTGATATTGGCAGGATGTCCCGCACTGTATCTCTTTTTATCTCTCTTCTGTGTGTTACACAACACAACTAGCAAATACTGTTATACCTAGTGGATAACGTTACATTAATCTTATGCAGCATCACCATATCTCCACCCTACGACTCTTGGTATTTACAGTCCTGTCAGCCCACAGCCTTCATTGGTAGTCACATCAATCTCTGGTTTTGAGGTTGATTATCACTGGCCTGGGTCTGAATGCCTCTTTAGTCAATCTACTCACCACTCAAAATGTAGAAGTGAAACTTATAAAGTTTGTTAACAATAACCACGGAGAAGCTAACCCTGGCCATCAGCGACATACCAATACAGCATTCCAACAATGATAAAGATGCTTTGGTAACCTAGCAACAATAAAAGACAGATGCTCTTTTTTGAAAAACTGCTCTCTGTGGTCACAGACCCTTTGCTTGTCTATTAGAAATTAATCAATACTGCCATACGCAGGAATAAACCATGTAACTATGACTTCTTTTTAGCAGTATAGCCCAATCCTAGGTTAGAGTATATGACTGTGAGTTAAGAATTTGGGTGTAAACATTTGCTTTCCATTTTACAGAGAGGTAGAGATAAACAAAAGCAATACTGGTGGCTTCTTAAAATCACACACACTGTAAGTGCCGCATTGTCCTACGGCCCTACAAGGCGGTAGGACAAACTACGAGCACACTTCCTTCTGCATCTTCAACGTGAATAAGACAATTTTGTTGAGTTTCCTACCTACTTTCTTGAACCATTTTGTTCATTACTACTATTACTACTTAGAGCTTTCATCTAAAAGGCGAGTGTCCAAAAAAAAAAATATTTTTTTAAGAAACCACACAGATTAGTTGTGTAAAGAAACATCTGTGCAGTAAAGAGATTTCTGTTTCTCTCTCACACATACACATTGATGCAAATCTGAGGTCAAAGGTCACCCACAGTCACAGCACATGGATCTGCCCGTCTAGCTGACAGAGCTGTCACAGCTGACAGCACCCTGCTGGCGAACCATCCATCTCACCCCTACATAATGTTCACACTAGTGTGTCACACTACTGTGGATCGGTTAGGTTGTAAAACCCCCCCCCCCCCCCCCTCCTCTCCATTCCCTATAATAAACCAAAAAAAAAGTTCAGCAGTTGCCATGGTGAAGTGGTGAAAGGCCAGCATCAGCAGTAATCTGTTTAAACCATGTGGAAGTATATGACGTGTCAGCACACAGCAAATATTAACCTTCATTTAACTTCAATACAAGAATAAAATGTGAGACTTCTTAAAAGAAGTTAAATCCACAAAACCCTTTGTTAGCCAAGTAAAACAGGCTCAATGTTTTAACTATACGTTTACATGCATAGCCACCCTTGAAAAGGCCCGTTTTAATCCAGAACTGTGATGTATTACAGTAACATTGTGGTTTAGGTGCAGAAAGCAGGTACTTTATCTACACTGGTAATGCACAGCTTTAGTCTGCACAAAATCACCAGCCAATTGTATTCACACACAGCTGGAGTTTAAAACTATGAGCCACTGCCAACATTAACATAACATTAGCTTACTCATCTTAGCTGAACAGCACAAGGTTCTATGCTAAATTACAAAGCTAAAAGCTACAATACAGTGAATTATAGAAATGGGATCAACTGCAGCAGGCAAAACCTACATGTACTAAATGTCCATGGAACATAGCAGTTTGATGAGATTTTAAGGTAATTATCAGAAAATTGTGAAAGCTGATGTTTGTTTGTTTGTTTTTTAATAATCCCGAGAATAATCAAACTTCTTTTTATGATAAGGTTATGGTTTCAATTCTTAATATCGCTCCTTTCACTAGTATTGAACCTTAAGA